GTGTATTAGGAACCAGATGGGCAAACAGCCTGGCTCAGTTCCAGGTCACGTGGGGTCTAGGAGCTCAGCCTCCCTCCTCCCCCCAGATAGGGGCTGCTGCACACTGCGGGGGGTGACAAGCAGCCGGTCTGCAAGGGGAGCTGGTTTTTAAACAGAGGCAGCAGCACGGAGTGGCAGGGGACTCGTCAGGAGTGGGAACAGAGTATTAGGAACCAGATGGGCAAACAGCCTGGCTCAGTTCCAGGTCACGTGGGGTCTAGGAGCTCAGCCTCCCTCCTCCCCCCAGATAGGGGCTGCTGCACACTGCGGGGGGTGACAAGCAGCCGGTCTGCAAGGGGAGCTGGTTTTTAAACAGAGGCAGCAGCACGGAGTGGCAGGGGACTCGTCAGGAGTGGGAACAGAGCGCACTGGCTGCAGACCTTGTTCTATTATAGAACAGTTGACTAACGGATAAGAATTCATGAGGTTAATCGACTATTCAGTTAACCAATATTTAACGTCCCTAGTCCCTGATCCTAGGGTTGTGCAGTATTTTTTGTTGTCAGAAGTGGGTCATGGTGCCATGAAGTTTGAAAACCCTTGTTGTAGGAAAACCCAAGAAGCTGTCACAAGTGGTGGGTGAGGATTCACTACAATCAGCACTGACTTTGATCCAGAAGGGTGTAAAGAGGCACTGTGCTACTGGGAATATCTTTTTTTAAAGATATACAGAAAACCAAACTCCTGAGATTACTAATGAGCCAAGGCACTTGCTGAAATATTAGGAATGTTCACTTACCTATCCTGGCCCAATTCTAATTCATGTAATTACAACCTGGCTGGCCAACACACTTCTGAATTCAACTTATTTTGAGAATCTTAACATCTTGCATGTATGCTTAAATTCCTCAACATAACATTCCTCAACACAGCTTCATTGTGAGGCCAATATAATCATCTGATTTGATCAACAACACGTTCACCTATGAGAATCCCAATGTACTTCATCACTAAAAGGCAGCCGCCTCTGGGGTGGAACATGGATGTCATTCTGCATTATAAAACTTTGCTTTTAAAGGCAAGAAGTGACGGGGACAGGAGCCAGTGGGTGAAGGGCATGGAAGGGGCTGGTTCCATGGTGCGCAAGCGGAATGCAACTGCCAGGGTGGGAACCTAGTCTGGACACCGGCTAAGCCAGCACATGGGAGCGTCTGGGTCCGAAGTGCCCAGGGCTTGGGTTTTACAGCTTCCCATCAACGCTGCAGCTCCAGCAGCCCAGCACCCGTAGCCCCGGGGAAGGCCCCAGGGGGGAGCCAGCCTCAGTCTACTCCACACTCATGCTCGCCCGGCCCCATCCGACCGGGGTGTGTGTGTGTGGGGGGGGAGGGGGTTAACCCCTTCGCGCTCCTCCCCCATCGGACCGGAGTGTGTGTGTGGGGGGGGAGGGGGTTAACCCCTTCGCGCTCCTCCCCCATCGGACCGGAGTGTGTGTGTGGGGGGGGGTTTAACCCCTTCGCGCTCCTCCCCCATCGGACCGGGCGGAATTAACCCCTTCGCGCCCCTCCCCGTGCCCGCTGCCGCTCAGCTGAGAGGGAACCAGTTCATACCAAGCTCCTCTCCCGGGGGGCAGACGGGACTCACCATCCCCCCCACTCACCATGGTCCCCACCGAGCGCGGCCACTTTCTCCACCGCAGCCCGCCCCCAGCTACTTCCTGGAGACCCAAGCCAATCAGTGACCAGCACTTAGATCTCGTAGCATCCCGGGTGTTGTCTTGGCACAATTGCATTATGGGGGATGCAGGCTCTAAGGAACGCCTTCCCAAGGCATCATGGGAGATGTAGGCTCCACGCGGCACCTCTCCCAGGGCATCATAGATGTACGCGCCACGTGGCGCCTCTCCCAGAGCATCATGGGGGATGTAGGCGTATCTTTTTCCAAGACTCTGGAGACAGTGCTGGGCAGAATAGGGTTGCCAGATGGTTTAGCAGGCAACCAGGGCCGGACCCCCTCCCCTCCCAAAAAAAGCACCAAAAAAAGCACATCGGGCCACCAAAATGCAGTCGCAGCCCCTTTAATTGGTGGGTCACTCCCCCCATCCCCAGGGTTGCCAGGTGTCCAGTTTTCGCCCAGACTGTCCGTTATTCAGGTCTCCCCGTCCAGTAAAAAAAACAGAAAATACCGGACATGTGAAGTGTCCAATATTTCCTATTTCCCTCAGACGGAAGCCTGACAGGGACAATATGCACCTGCGTGTCTAGTGGGGTGGGGGAATGAGGAGAGTGGGGCCATTTAAAGGCACAGCACCCTTTTTTTTCCCCCAACAACTTTGGTCTCCCCCCAGGGTGTTCGGTATTTTTTGTTAAACCATTGGGCAACCCCTACATTGGGCACCAAGCCAGGAAAAGCAGAAAATACCAGACATTTTATGTGTCTGGTATTTTCTCAATTTCTTTACTGGACAGAAGGCACAAATACCTGACCATCCAGTTCAATACCAGACACCTGGCAACCCTAGAGCAGAGCGTTGGGTGTGTCTGTCACAAAAGCTTTGGGCACCATGTAACCGCCACCAGTAGATCCCTGCAAGTTTGTGGATGTGGCTTCAGATCCACAGGGGTACATGGATCTTTCCATGGATGATTTTATCAAACATCAAGCTACGACTCTGGTTCTAGCAAGGGTTTTCTTTCTAATTCCAACAGAAAGAGCCTTCCCCCCAAAAAACAAACCTTCCTCTTCAGTGTTTGTACAATTAGACAACTCCAAAGGGAAGGAGGAAGCCCTGGGAAATTATGATCCTCCCCTTGCCTAGAAAGAGAACTGCAGCAGGGCACTGGGTCCCTTCTCCAGGGGGCAGAGCACTGAACTTTAACTCTTCCCTAATTATCACCTACTAAGCCAGCAGTGACTTAGGCTCTTTAAATACTCTATTTTAGGGCTTGTTTGTCTACATGGGGAAATCTACCAGTGTAATTATACCAGTATAATTAGTCACATGGGTGATCACTTATTCCATATTTAAAGCGTGGTGTCACATTCACTGCAGACACTGACAGCTTCCTGTACAGAATTCAGCCCCGCCATGGAAAGGCTGTCAATTCGGGTTCCCTCAGCCAAGAGAACCAGCTCCACTTATTGGGGCCCAAGTCATCCAAACTTGGGATGGGAATGACCGAGACCAGTTTATAGATATGGAGGAGGTACTTGGGCCTCCAAGGAGAAGGGGAGGGCCACTCTGGGCTGTATCAGGGGAAAAGGTTGTCCTGGAGGTCTGGGCACCTGCTCTGATTGTTTCCAGGCCTGTCCTGCAGACCCCTGAAGACTCTGACTCATTTCAATTAAAACTCCCTGCATGCTGCCTCTCCTGCCTCAGACCCTGTCAACCCACAGATGTTGTAGATTTTATCCAGAGTGTCTTCCCCTACAGCTGCCAGACTGAGGACAAGGCTGCATCATACTCATCTGGTTAGCAGGTGCACTAGCCCTTTACTTTCTGTTCAGTTACTAGATCTCTCAGCCCCAACTCCTCCCAATTTCTGTACAGAAGCAGCAAGGGGAAGCACCTTCACCTCAAAAGTTCTGCTTCAATCCCACCTGGTTGGGGATTCAGCTCTGGCAGCTGGGTACCAGAGAGCAAGGAACAGGAAACCATAGGAACTGACAAGTGAGAGGTGACTTTGGAGTGGGTTTTCTCTCTCACAGGAGGGCTGGACTGACTGAAGATTTTTCCTTTATAGTACATACCAAGCCTCAGGTTAGGCTTCATTTCAAAGGTCAATCTAGGTGATCTAGGGCAAAAACCACCCTGGTCCAGCATAGCGGAGACACAGCAACTTCCATCAACTTGGCTAGATCTGCACAATCACTGCAGCATAGGCAGCCCCTCTGCAAAGCACCACTCTGGCTCTGTAATGTTATGGCTGCGCAGATCGCCTGGCACTAGGGGGAGCAGCTGCCCCGGAAGATCCTGTTTTCAGGACTGGTCCAGTGATCAGTTTACACACAGCCTCTGATCAAATGAAAGAGAGTGGAACTGACAGTGATCTATTAACAGGCCAGTCCCATATTCTCCCCTCAAGAAAAGCCCATCCACCCCACCCCCATACATACAGCAGTCCCTGAATTGCCTTTTTCCCTCAGAGAGACCCCCTGGGAGACTAGAGAGAGGCCCTGTTCCTGGCAGAGCTGTACTCATTGAGCCCACATGATGCTGTCGGAGGCTACATACTGGACTTGCTCCAGGAGCCCTGGTTTCCCCCACTGTCTCAACAGCAGCACTGGGGCCTGGATTCTGGCAAAACTGGGGATGAGTGGGAGAGACCCAGCGTTGTGGGATGGCGTGTGGGGAAAAAAAGAGAAGAAAAGGTATTGAATGAAACACGCCAAAGGGGAAAGGAGGAGTCACTCTGGAAACGTACATTGGCATAGCTAAATCCCTCAGGGGCGTGAAAAATCCAACCCCCTGAGAGACCGAGCTACACTGACCTAACTCTGAGTGCAGACAGCACTAGGTTTTTCCCTAGACCTAGCTATCACCTCTCAGGGAGGTGGATTAACTACAGTGATAGGAGATGCCCTCCTATCAGCATAGGTAGCGTGTAAACTGAAGTGAAGCAAAATGCAGGACAATGTAGCACTTTAAAGACTAACAAGATGGTTTATTAGATGATGAGCTTTCGTGGGCCAGACCCACTTCCTCAGATCAAATAATGGAAGAAAACAGTCACAACCATATATACCAAAGGATACAATTTAAAAAAATGAACACACATGAAAAGGACAAATCACATTACAGAACAGAAGGGGGAAGTGGGGGGG